CCCGGGTGCTTCACCTAGCTGTCTCTTTCTCCCGCCATGTCCACCCCGATATCCCGTTCAACCCTCAGAGGGGGCGCTCTGCTCATCCCCTTGCCATCACTCACCGACACAGACTTGTAGCTTTCAATAAAAATGTAAATATGGCGGCGTAGAACGAGCCAATGACAGCGCTACATCGACGCCGCGAGAGGGAGAGAGAAAAAGAGAGAGATAGACACGGAGAGGACGCCTGCGGCAGGGGTTGAGGCTTCGAAATGGGAAGCTGGCTGCGAGGGTCGAAGATGGCGAACCGGGGAGGAACGGGACACGAGCGGAGGAGGCTTCGGTGAGTTCGGAGCCGCGGCTCGAGCAGAAGTACTACAGATGTAGCTGCGAGAGGCGGGAGTAAAAGTGGAGCCCGGAGGAGGTGGCAGCCTCTCCACGGCGGGAGGATATGGGAGATAGGTAATAGGGGTTTTCGAAAGGGTAGGGAGCGCGAAAGGGGGACGAGGCCGCGGAGGGGGGATGGACCAGAGCGGAAAAGATGGAGAGCAATAGGCGGATAGACAGGAACATGGATGAAAAAAGAGGGCGACGCGGGGCAGGAGGAAGAATGGAGATAGAGGACGCACGGAGTGTCACACTCAACGTCGTCACCTACGGGTCTGCCCTCCCGCGTTCCTTCCGTTCCAGGCGGCGGAGGACCGCACGTCACCTCACAGATTCACTCGTGAAGCAGAACACTCGGGGCACTGTCGATTTCGGAAAAATTATGAAGAGCCACGTGGGCAAATATAAATTGATTTTCGCGGGGATTCCCTCGGGAAGGCCTGGACAGGAAAAGCAATTGTGTCTAACCAAGCACAGAACTTCTAGACACCTATAGAGGATGGCCGTATCGTATGCTGCAGCATCCACGCTTACACCTCCTAGATCCAAAAATCATAGACACGAGCTTCAGAGCTACAAGGAGTCACGAATAACGAGTTCTAGAGACCTGACAGACTGCACGAGGACATTCTAGGTCATACTGTCCCACTAGTCTAATGCAACTCTTAAAAACAACGACGATATTACAAAAGTGGCAAAGTTGCAGGTTCCTCATCCTTGTCCTACTTCGTTAGAGGAGCAAAGAAGGCTATAGGGGATTTCGAGAGGTTACCCAGTGGAAGGGAGGCTGAGGAGGGGTGGTCCAGAGCGGAAAAGATGGAGAGCAGTAAGGCGGATAGACAGAGACACGGATGAAAAAAGGGGAAGATTGAAGTAGAGGGAAGAGGACGGTGAAAGAGGACACCTGGAGTGCCACTGTGACGCTCGAGTGTCGTCACCTACGGCTCCGGCCTCTCTCTTCGTCCTATTTCGTTGCAGACGCTCGAGGAGCGAGAAGCGGGGGAGACAGAGACCCCCGGAATGACGCAGGTGCCGCAAAGCTTGACACGTCTCCGGCTGTTTTGTCACCTTTTTTTATCCTTCGAACTTTTTACAAGCTGCCTCGTTAGAAGCTTGCTCCCGGCGTTGATGGAGTAAGCCGCCCCCGAACAAATGCGTTTTAAAATTACGCCCTTTTCACCGGGAACCACTCCCCTCCCCCGACCGAAGCTTTGGCCCGCGGGGATAGAGCAGCCCACCCTTAGCGAAAGCTGCCGCTTCGATGACAAGCTTTTTTCGCAGCTCGCGTTTGTCCTGGGATTTTTTGGTTAGCCTGTGTGCTGTTTGTTAGGTGTAATGGCTGGCTTCGATGGTGAAACGAGACGTCGGCTACTGGGAAGGGAAAATTTTAGGTTAGGTCTAGGTGGGAGGGTTTGAAACTCGTTCGTGACGATAGAGGGTGTTAAAAAAAATGGGCCGAATCGCATGTCTATAGTTCAAAGAGACTATATCCGAACATGTCAGCGAGAAACCTGACGCTATCGCGAGATTGAACGCGTCCTCTCACGGTCGCGGGATCAAATATTTTTCCGAGGTTATAATCCAGGCTCAAATAATTAAGCCGACAAGGAAATATTAAATAATGGCGAAGATTAAAAACAGGCAGTTAAGTTGATTTCACTTTTTATCGCAGTTTCGTCGTTCCATCATTCATGGATTAATATCGGAGCAGCGAACGCTTAACTGTTATGAATTTTTATTAACCTATCTACATCTGTTACTCATAATTAGCTGGGCCGCTTAAATCATCGCGACGTTTTTATGGAAGATTAGCATAAAGTTTATTAAACGCGATATCGTCATCTAATATCGCGCCGACCAATTTTGCCGCCTCTGTTTCTTGCATCTCGACTCTATAAATTAATCCTCTGTTTGAAATATTACTTCAATTTTTATGCAATATGGAGCGCGACAATTAATGCAAAGTACTGCCTTTTATTGTCCGTATATCTTTACGAAAGTAGAATCGATGGATTGGCGAGGCTTCCCTGAAGAAAATGAGCCCAAACACGGCCCAATTCCGACCATATTCAATTCAACGTCATACTACTATCATTTCTAAAAACATTCGATTAGGCAAATTAAAAAATAGTTCAAAATGTCGTGTTTCGACTCGTCAGGAAACCATGTACAAGGCATTGATACAACTTTCACGAAGTATACCGAACAATTTCGACTATTAATGTCTGCGAACCTTTTATCGAGGTCAGACGTGGACTTTTAACGAGGATTTGCCGTAATCGGTGGTTAGTGGGGGAAAATTCGTTCGTAGAGGCACAGAAAGTGAATCTTACCTTGACTTGCGATTCCGACATGCCGAGGGCGTACGCCAATTTAGCGCGCTCGGGTCCCGCAAGGTATTTCGTTTGCTCGAACGTTTTCTCGAGGGCGAAGATTTGCTGGCCGCTGAACGTTGGCCTTGTGTGCTTCTTCTTGCCACCCTCGTGCTCCCCAGCCCCGCCGGTGCCTGTCATCGTTTGCTGACAACCCAGCTGTTGCGACACTGTAACATCGATATTTTCCAGGGATACTCTCGTCACTTTAATAATATTATTTCGACCGTTATTTCCATTTATCCGTCGCGAACGAATCGCTTAGAACGAGTACGACGGAAAAAAGTCGACACGCGCATCCGGTGTTCGCGGCCTTCAATTTTTTGTTCTGTTCGAAAATAACACCAATGACATTTAACTTGAACCTGATTTCTTTTTAATTTAATAATATACCGATTAAAAATTTGTTTTCATTAACAAATACAAGTCCCCCACATTCGCAAATGCAACACGCGTTAGTTCACATTTAACAGCATTATCATCGCGATCGTCAAACTTATTCAATAATCAGAGGCACAGTTTGCGGAGATAGCCCTACCGCCCGGAGCAATTAATCTTCATTAATTTTGCGTTCATTCTTCTTGCCCTCGTGAGCGCACTCGTTCCAACGATTTACATACCCTATCGATAATTACGTCATAAATTAACATCTCGTTACACGCCAAAAATGTTGTGTACGGCACGCCTATTAAAAACCGTGCAACTGGCCGACGGTAACCGATCGATTGCTACCTTTTGTGGCGACGGTACAATGTCGAATGCTGGACTCTATCGACAACTCGCTTCATTAACTAACTGTTCGTTAAATAGCCCAGTAACTCAATTTTCGACATCTCTAACCTATCCAGCAAGTAATTCGTTCATAAACATACTAAAACTCCGTTCAGTTGTTCGTCTGTGGTACGATGAAACTTAGAGTGGAGAGTTGCGCGGATCACCGACCATAAAATTAGCTATAACTCGCTTATCGTTGCATCCACGATAAAAACATGTAGAACAAAAGTGGTGGTAAATTACATTTCGGAACATTTTTGTTCTATACAAATTTTCGATAGAACCACTGCTAACCGAGTTATCGATCATTCTTTACTTCCTCGATGTACTGGGTGTCCCAAAAAGAAAGTACCGAATTTCACCATTACGTTCAAAGTATCGCCATTTTGTTCTCCTTATGTACAAGTATCAAGCTTTGCTCTCAAAGGGCTCAAATTTGATGTTCGAATGAGTCGTGCTTCGTGGAGCATTAAAACGATTCATCGATTGTTCTCGGTGGCTCCCGGGTTCACCGAGGGGAGATCGCAGTTTAATTTGACGGAATCACGCGTTCAAGGGTTAAACACTTGCGCGATAGACCGCAATCACGTCGTCTCGACGTCGCCCGGCACGTGCCGGCCACGTGAGTTTAGCGTTCCGCAAATAGGCGGACTTTGTTATCGTTATCCTTGCTGACTGTTGATCCCGTGTTCAACATGGCTGGGCAGGGGAAGCTGATACCATCGCCGAATGGAATGGCACGTGACAGAGGGGTGAAATTGGGGTGGCATTATCGCGGCGCGAAGATGTTCACGAGCGATGTACTGCGAAAAACCCGTCGCGATTACCATGCCGCATCCATTCAGCTCGTAAAACCAACCGACAGTGGGGAAAATTGTAAGAAAATTATTCTGGAATCTCTCCTCGCGAGGAAACGTACAATCAACAATGTACAAGATGAACAATGCTAATCGAACAGGAGTTATCTTCGTCATAGTTTGAATGTCTCACTCATTCTCGTTGTAACTGAGCTTGGGGATGAAAGATGCCACGCCTTCCCCGGATAACTGATCGAATTTCAACCCGCATTACTGAACATCGTATCCGCCACGATTACTGTACCTCGTTCTAGGGTATCTCAGCCTAGGATTCAAAAATTTATTTACTGTTGTTTTATGTTTGATCAGTTATCCGGGGAAGACACTGCAATCCGTCAGCAGAAATGTATCGTTATTATTATTTTTCATAACAACCGTCCTGTCGTTTGCGCTAAGATTTATCCAACACCCCGTAGAGGTCTCAGTGAGACATCAATCTTTCCCGGAGGTGACGGAACCGAAGTCGTAACACTGACGTGCATAAATTCCCGCAAAAAGCGGAGTTATCGAATTACGTAGGAAAGTTGCGCGAGTTTACGCAGTTTCCAAGTAGATGAATAGGGGATACCCCGTGAAACGTGTACCTCCATCGAAGCAGAGGGTGGAGTGCGGTAAGCAGCTCATTAGAACCCTCCCCGCCGACTGGCCATTATTGCCTCGTTCCGTATTCCGTTACAAATTGCTTTATTAAATTAAAGTCCCACAACCCATACTGTTGTGACGACCCCACGCCTCCTCTCCCCTTCCCCTCGCAGCCCATCCCCCATGTGCCGCTTATAACGCGTCTGACCGCGTGCTGCTCGTCCACGCAGCTTCTCTCTCTGCACCCTTCTTAATTACCCGCTCAAATTTTATAGAATGTTTCCTCAGGGCATAGACTGTTACAGGATCCTTAATCAACCGAAAGAGATCTTTGGATTTATGTTCATTTAACTGGGGGCCTGTTTTCAAGGTGCTTGATGTAGGCTTCACTGTCCCTATCCCACGTGACTATGAGGTCTATAGTCTCCGAAGTAGTCTCTTCATTTCCTGGATGTTTACAATGTCCTGTGGTCCCATCCAAATCGTTGCTTGCTCTCGAAGCACCTGTACACTGTCTATCGACATCCCCATTACCTTCCTTCTTCTCTGGATGTTTAACAAACGCTCCAGTAGCTCTATCCAAATTGCTGATCACCTTAAAGAACACCGCGTACCAACCTCCTCATTACGTCACCTCCACAGAAGCTATTTTCCGGTGTCAACAATCTCGCCAAATCCCTCGATACCTCGATCCACATTCACGCCATAGCCCTCTTAAACAAGAACCTGGCCTCCATCTAATCACCAGCGTATCCATCGCCTCGGCTAATCCTCCTGGTCGCGTTCGTTGAGGCTGCTGGATCCAGCCTCCTCGCCGGCTCGCATCACAACACACCCTCTATCGACCCAGTGCACGCCGTCTAATGCCGCTTAATAACCCGGAAGCAGTATGTTACCGCGTAGCGAGGCAATCGCACGCGACTCTCCAGCGAAAGTAAGGTCGCCTCCAACAGCCATAAATATCCCCTCGGCTAACAATCCGTAAAGGAGCAGTCGAGTGGACCTGCTCCGTTGAGTCAAGCTTGGGTATTCAACGGAAAGGTGAAACCGATCACGTTTATCGCTGATAGGGCAAGAGGAAACGCTCGGTCCCGCGACGGTCGTTCGACGTTGCCTCGCGAGGCTCGTGCAGCCGATCAAACGTTACAGTACGGAATATAAAGCGTACATTGGGGCCACGGATAGCGGTGCGCTGTGGCTGTAAGTCGGGTCACGGGGAAAGGGGTTCGGGGATGGGCAAGTGGGTGGCCCATAGGAACAAAAGCGGGCAAGCCAGGAATACACCGTGGTGCCACAGTTAAAATATTGCCAGAGTTATTCACGTGAGTGTGGAAAGCTGGGGGATGGAGGCTGCGGCAGCAGGAGGCCTCGCCGGGATACGAGGGTTGATATTGAATATGATATTCCGTATCCAACGCCGCAGCGGACCACCGCTACCCTCTTATTCGTCCCGCAGTGACATTCGTACCCGGCGACGCTGAAACAACACACGCTCGCTCGTCCACGCCCTTCCACGCCGATCCTACGTACTTACATCCTAGTATCCTATCTCGTCACCCTTCTTGGCTTCTCTCTTCGACCACCCTCCGACCGCCAACCACCCTCTTCGTCCGTTCCGCCGCCTTCCAGGTTCTGTCTTCGTTCCTCCGGCTTCTGGTGGTACGTGTGCGTGCTCGGCACATGTGCCACCGCCGGCGCTGATGTATGCTCCCGAAAGGGGATGCTCTCTTCTCCGCCGTCACGTGTTCTTTCACTTTGTTTGTGATTTTTTTTGCGGCGCCCTTAATCGCTTTTACAAATCGCTGGGGTACGAGTTATGTAAGCGACGCGACGCTTCGACGCGAACTTCCCTCTGCGGAAAAAGCGGTTTCCGAAGTGACCCGTCGCTGGAGTGGGTGCGCGCCTTCGTGTTTCCTGCTGGATTTTGCATAGCTTGGGACCGCGGGTGTATTTTGTTTCGGTGGCCCGCTTGGATGACGTTAACACCTGTCGTAGGTGGGTATAGTTGGTATACTTGGAAACGGTTATCGAGGGTGGAGAATTTTGTATATGGAACTGGCCGGGTTGACTGATGACTTTAAGAAGTAACGCATGGAAAAATACCACTGTTATCGTTTGGTAAAAAACGATGACAGCCCTTTCGAGTTCCTCGTCTTTTTTCTTGTTTTCCTAGATCCTCCAACGGATGACAGTTTTTTTTTGTGCGGCTCACGACTCGCCTGTTGTTTTGAATGATATCTAGAATAGCATTTAGCGGTTCAGTGGCACGTGTTTTTTCGCTCCGATCGCTGGATTTCCTTGTCGCGAGGGCAAACACGAGCAGCTGTCTATCAGGGGAAAAGAAATATCCCTAGGCTGGAAAGTATCTGGGAATCCCCCCTCGGTGTTTTCAATCCAATCTTTTTGACTTCAAGCTCCTTTTTGTTGAATCCGAATTGGATCACCGTGCACGAGTGTCTGCACAGCTGAAATCCTTATGACGAGTTGAATTATTCCTAACCTAACTCTTGCCACAACCACATACCCCACTCGCCATTTTAACATTCCTCTTAAGTACGAAGTTCGTTGATTGACACAAGTGCGATGCAAGCTGTGCCTTTGATAGTAAAACTCTACACGTAAAATCCCTATATTTGCCTCACATTTGCGATTACCTAATCCCAAAATCTTGAGGTTCGGGGTATGAAAGAGACCTGGACGATACTTAGCAATTTCATCTATCGAAACAGGAGATATATGCGTCCATCGAATAGGATACTCACGTGTGTGCAGTCTTGCCCGCCATGCCAGAGGATCACTGACTAATCCCTGAAGGCCCGGCCAATAGACAGCGGGATGCCGTGGCTCCGTTCTTTGTTGAAATTGTCCGATACCTGCATTCAAAGCAAACATAACGTGAATATATGCGTGTATATAGATGTCCACGCCTATATATTTTCATCCTCTGTTTACTCTTTGTATCTCCTGCCAACTATCTCTCTCTCTCTTTCTCTCTCACGTGCTAGACTATACTTGTTTCTCTTTTTCTGACGCTACAATGTTTACTTATTTCGGAGCCACCCTGGGAATGGTGTTCATAGGTAAAGTTAGACTGGCAATTTTATTTGTTTTACCAATGATTGTTGCACAGTCATTTTAAATATACATTTTGGGGGTAATTTCAGTTTCTGAGCGATTTTAGGCTGTATGTAAATTCATGCAACTCTATGGTACTGATCTTAACTCGATCGAGCTCGAAAATTTAAGAAGATAACGTTATTGGTATCCTATAGTTTACTGTAGAGCTAGAGAGATTGTGTATCGCCAGCAGGAAAACCGCAACGCGACGCGTGTGGCCACGAACGGTCCAATCATGGCTGAAATTCCGAGTCACGCAAAAACTGCCTAACGTTCGCCGACCTATCGTTACTATTATGACCTTGAATATTAAACTTCGTATCGCTCCGAACAGACACGAGACTCCAAATATCGGTCCAAGATTCGAAAGAAACTATTTTCTCTCTCATTTTGAAGAAAACTGCTACTTTCGAAAAGAAGCATTGGTAACACTGTAAACCAATTAGACACTTTACAAATCGCCTAACCAGAGGGGATTCACCTGAAACCCATCGCGCAGGTTTATAACGGGTTCATAAAATCCACCTATTGTTGTTAGTTGCCGTTGCAACGCGATGGGAACGCGAGAGCTCCTCTTCCCGTCTACTTGTCCACCGCACAATAAAAGGTTATTCCCTGGTTTTTAGTGTTCGACCGCGCACCGCTCGGATCGAGCGAAGACGAGGATGAAAACGCGCGCGATACGATCGTTCGATCGTTACTCCTTTTGTCCGCTACGTTGGAATCAAATAAAATTTATGGGATCATAAACGAGTGAAGCTGCATGCTCATCAACAAAAATATTCGAGATCCATCACTACGCTTTCGGCCGTCGGAAGAATCGGAGTCGTAACCCGTCAGTTACCACTCCTCCCCCACACCCTCGCTCTTCTCGAAGAATCCCCGAAATTTAATTGAACTTCCAGCAGTGATTTTTACAGCGCCCTCTAGAAACGGTTTTCTGACGCTGGGAATGGAAAACCAGCGACACCTGACGATCAATCGACGAAGGCAAATGGCTCGAGTCAGCAGCCTTTTGGCTCATGCGTTAAATTTTATAAACAATAGTTATTTTGCAAATTTCGTGGTCCAGTTAAGGAAACAGGATAATAATTAATATGAAAAATAGGTGCCAGTGAAAATGTTGCCAATTTGAAACGAGTATCGTTTCGAGGCAGACGAAACTAACGAAATTAGTATCCTTCGGAACGAAATGAGAGGGCAATCTGGAATTAGTATCCTTCAGATTCGTAAGCTGGTTTGACTATGCCTGTGATAAGCGAGCTGCTATTAATTCCCTACGATGGTGTACAAAGGAACACAACCCTAAATTATTAGGGAATGTTGAACCAGTGGCATGAATAACACTGACACTTCTAACGAATGATCAGTCTTCTCAAGTATGCCCCCTTCCTGAAATGCTTGGAATCTTGGCCTGGAATCCCACCATTGGTATCATCCTAATAAATAATAATACCTTTATCCTGTTTGGCAAAATTTAGAAATTTAGACCTAACATTTACAGAATGGCCTCTAATACAGAAAATAAAACCAACGTATACTCTAAACACCAGTAATCGATAGTATAGCTTAAGCGAGAGTGAGGTTCCCACAGGGCCAAGTATTAGGGGGACCAGAAAGTAATGTCGTTTCTTTTACATTAAATTCAAACAAATAAATTTATAATATGTTTTTATTTTTAATCAATTATATAATTGTCCTCGTTATCAAGAACCTTCTGCAATCTAGTGTGCAAATTTTCAATACCTGATCGGTAAAAATTGATTGGTACACGGTGAGATGGTAAATAATAAACAAGTATTTGTATTCGCAGAAACGACATTACTTTCTGGTCCCCCTAATATAATGGCCCAATGACCTCACTCTCGCTTGAGCAAGCAATAGAAACATAGTCGCTGTTGAACAACTCTGAATAAAGTGAACATTATTTTATTAAACTTTGTTGATATCGCTAATAGTGTCCATGATACTTGTATGGGTGGATTAGAATGAATCATTAGGATGAAAGCATAGTTATGGAAATTTAAAGGGGTAGCCAGAGGAAGCTAAGTAGTTTTGCCTCTGCCCCCGCCCCTACTGGCAACGTGTTATCCCTTTTAACCCCTCCCATCGCTAAAGTGTACCTATCTTAACGAACATATTTTTCTGGTTCTAATAACTTTCCCCTCTGTCTCGATATAAGCTGTTTCGAGTATGCACGCCGTATAAACATGCATCCCGCCCACCAGAGTGAAATGGGCGAGCAATGCATGTCGCGCAATACGGAACGCGCAGGTTCGATACGCATCCGTGCGGTTCATTCAGCCTCTTCCTGGTCCCCACGTAGCTGCATCTGCTTTCCTAAAGGGATTCGTTCGCAAATAGAACGCTGTGTTTCGCTTTTGGCGAGCATGGCCAATGGTCGATAATCCAGGGTTCAATTAGAATCTGGGAACGGTTTGTTGCTATCGTAGATTAGGTCTGCGTTCAATTCGGAAATTTTGTACGTGTGTTTATGATAAAAACGAATCCCTCAGTCGTATTGGTCCGTCATGGTCAATTGGTTGAAATTTATCCAAGTCCACGAGGATCAAGGTGGATTCGATACGAGGATTTAATCCCTGATCTAACCCAACATTTTCGCTACGAATTACGAAATATTAGTGTCTCATGCAGCTTAGAGCAGCCCTATCAAAACAGTATCAAAATTCTATCGAGATCCGGACTACGACTAACAAACTTTGCTGGAATCATGGTAGCCCATAAACCATCCGACAAACACCGGCAGGTGGCGATTATCTTAAACCGTTTCCCGCTGTTGTTGGCAAGCAAACACTGTTATATATAGAAATCTATCAGGACACAAATTAAAGGGATGGCTGCATGGCATATTGACGTCACGCACGCTTGGTGTAACAATTACGTAACAAAATATATATATATATATATTTATTAGTATTGTATTTTAAATTCAGTCAATCGATAATCAGTTGTTGAACTCACTTTGTAAGCACATCTTTCGAGGTGTAGATTGGTTGGACGAAAGATGCTCGCTAGCATGGCGCACGTGTGTGGATTTAGGGGCATCGGGGATTCCTGTCTTGCGTCATCGGTGTGCTAAGAACGCATAAAAGCGGATATTCGGCCAGACTGTTCGGTATGTAGTGTATACACACGCGGATATTCGTGAATACTCCACGAGCTTGGCCAGAATCTGAAGCACCCGATTTCGAGTCATTACGCGCACGTTTCTGGGCCAGGTTCTCGGTTAGACCTTGGTTAGGGCATAAGCACTTCATAAAGATTCCCCGCTATGTTGGTAGGGTTCACGATCGACGGTGATTCGGCCAATTCCACGCTTACAACCCGTGGATCCACATTTTTCATTCAACAAAATAAGTATTTTATTTTTAAACTTATGGTTCTGTCGCTAGAGGGTAACCCAGAAGTGCGAGTAAAAATTAAGATGGATACTGAAATTGAGAATAGGTTTCAATAGCCTCCGTTTTTTTATTATATTTTACTGTAATTTAATTTAATAATATTTTTGTTTGTATAGCGCCACTTTTATTTGTTTCTTTCGAGTTCATTTGGTAGAATGAAGCGGTCGACCTAGCGCCGGAGGAGAGCACGAAGAAGAAACGAGGGATCTTAAACAATCTACGAGAGAGGAACGCGCTCTTTTTAAACTATAGCCGGCGCCATTATCGCGAATTATGACAACGATTCCTGCAGATATTTGAACGTCCGCCACGGACAAAAGTAGCACAGCAGCCGGATATAAATCGCGAAAGATTCTTTCGGGACCCCTCGGTGGCTTTTACGGGTGCCACGCCGAAGATTCCTCCTTTTATTGGAAGGAAAACAATTTTATAGTGCCTACAGTGTTGCTCAACTACAATTCCGTGTTGTATATCATTTTGCACACCGCTCCGCGGCTAACGTGCCTGAGTAACGATCTAACGCTTTTATGGTTTGACGTCTCTCCAAGCTTCTCGCGTTAAAAGAGTCGTTAGAAGATATACCCTGTGACTAGGAATTTTTAATAGGTTTCAGGCGACATTAATTGCTACGTTCCTGACTGGAACTTGATGGGAAGATCTGGATGGCATTAACACTAAACGTAATAACAAGCGGAGTCAAATGATACCTTTCAAAATTTACTTCAAAATCGCACATTCGTGGTTATTTCTTTCAGAAATTATGCTGTGAATTATTGTATTTTCTTCAATAAATTAAGAACTTCTTTCTAAAAATCGATGTTTATTTTAAAAGGTGTCAAATGGCCCCTTATGATGATAAGAATAGGTAAACGTAAAGCGCTTGTACATACGTTTAGTGTTAATAAATAAATAATAAATAAATATATATATATGTATTAGGTTGTCCCAAAAATTTCTTTCGCTTTATTAATAAGTAATACATGCACAATATTTTGTTTTATGTTACATTATTGAATTGTGCACGATTCATTTTGCTCCATTACTGTTACAACATGAATATCTATGAAATTAGATTGTCGGTTTATATAAACACGACCACATAAAATAATTGAGTGCAACTCGCGAAAGAAACTTTCGGGACAAGCTAATATATCGGTAGCGAAATTTCGGGATAAATTTTGTTCGTTTAACAAAGACAACGATTCCTTTCTATTCTAAAAATAAAATTCAATTTCGCTTCAGAATTTTCGATGAGATTCAAGATCGAATAATTTATTTAATATCGACTTAACGAAATCTCCAAAAGTCGAAAACTGTATCGTCAAAATGATACCCGTTAAATAACGTTTTGCGCGGTAGCATGACGTCGGAGAGTGCAAAAATCTCGGCCGACGGCAAGCACGCTGCGTTCCGAATGCGGAGGGCAGGTCTTGAAAAATTCCCAATAAACGAACAGATGCGCAGATTCGAGGGTTCTCAGGAATCAGACCTTGTATACATCGTTCTCAGTCTAATTCATGAACTCATGAACCCCAGTCACGTGCCACCCTCGTTCGTAAAATATATTTAGTATTTCTATGCCCTGGCTCTATAGCTGTACACTTAAATTTATAATCCCTCGTATGTCCCGCGATATCATTAATAATGGACATGGAAGTCCGTGAATGAACCCTTTAATGCCGCTGCTCGCCCTCGATTCTCACATTCCCAAGATGGCGTTGCTCCGACAACAAAACTGCGAAGATACGCGACGGAAGTCTCTTTCGATTCGGTGCACCCTATATTTTTAAATCGTGCGCTATACTTCTGATTAATTAAACGATTACACTGACCTTTCCAATAACAACTAAATCTTACTTTCTCAAAAACAGAGAGCTAGCTATTATTCACCACGTTGTGGATAATATCGATAAAATAATAAATAAACAAGTTCTGGATTTAAGATAAAGAAAAGAAATATCTATAATATAAATTAATGAAAAACAGAGGGTGCTTGTTGAGACTCCGTGGAGTCATGTTCTAAATCATAGAGATGGTGACCGCCATCGTATTGGAAGAATTTTCCTTCAATCACATTTTCATCGTGAAAGATGAAGAGAAGATTGCATTCGATTTTTCGTCGAACGGAACTTGTTCGAGTCGTGATGCCTCGAATTACAGAAAGACAATGGGGTGGGCCACGGTCGATCTCTGATTCCCTGACCATGCTTCTATACGGGGATCGGGGAATCCCCCCACCCAGTGAAGCAAGTTGGCCAACGTCGTCAGGTGGTTAACCTAGAATACGCTAACTTCGGTCCACGCGTTTATCTAATTCGGTTAAGCGAGCTTCGGGTCTACGCTGTTTTCGATCACCGGACACCGAAAGCTCCTCGTCTCGGCGTTCCTTTTGTTTTGGCGCGTATTTCAAACAAGAAATTGAACTTTCTTCCATTGCTCTTAGTCGATCAAGAAACGAAATGTAATGCAAAATGATATAGACATAGATATCCTCGTTGAAACCAGGTGATCCACTAATGAAAATGTTATTTACTGACCATAACTGTTTAAAATAATACCCGCGTTTATCATGAATAACACCGACCAATATTCAACACGTGGAAGAACTATTTAATTAGAACATGTGTTGCGAACGTTTCTGGTGCAATGAGTATTTCCAATATTTGTTTGTTGGTATCACTTGACTGGCCTGTTTTCGCGATTAAAACGACTCGCAAAATTATACAGGGTGTCCCCAAACGGAGCTATATTAATTTTTAGTTTAATCGGGCAACACCCTTATAAAGCTATTCTGAAGCAATATTAATAAAGTCCTCTAAAATTCTGAAAGTTCTTCGATAGCAATTCTTACCCCCAAACTATGAAATCCTTTACTCCTTGGACTAACACGCGCATCTTGCCTAGATTTCATGAATCATTCGGCAAAGACAAGGAAAAAGGAATCGACGATCGAATCGATTGACTTTCGAGCCAAACGCAAGATTACTCCGCCTATTTTATTCCTCAATTGTTGAAGCGATCAATCACGCGCGCCGGTTAAATTACAAAATCTGGAACGCGGCGCTTTTGATTTTATTGAAACCAATTCTGAATAAATTAACGTTGATGTACCGCGACGGTTGTATAAATCAGAATAAATCCGACAACCGTTCGCAATTAAATTGTTGCAAAAAAGTGTTGCGGACTGACGAAGACAGAGTTATAGTGGAGTCGAGTTTAGTTTCAAGTGAAAGAATTGAGGTCTCCCTTATAAGCGAGCCCAGTACGCTCTAGTCCTTTGTATATTTGAGCCTAGTACCCTCTAGCCCTCTATTCTTGAGCTTAGTACCTTCTAGTACCCGTATCTGAGTCCAGTTCCTTCTGTATTTAATCTCAGTTCCTTCAAAACCTTTATAAGCGAGTCCAGTACTCTCTAGCCCCCCTCCCCCCTGTACTTGAGCTTAGTACCTTCTAACCAACTATACCTGAGTCTAGTACCTTCTAGTCCTCTGTACCTGAGCCTAGTAACCTCTAGTTCTATGTGTCAAAGCCTAATAACCTGTAGCCCTCGACAGGTGAGCCCAGATGCCTCTAGTCCTCTGTACCTGAACCCAGTACCATAAACCCTTTTATGTGAGCTTACAACCCTCTAGTCCTCTGTATTTGAGGCCAGTACCCTTTAGCCCCCTAAAGACTGTACCTGATCCCAGTGCCAGTTAGCTTATATGTGAGCCTAATATCCTCTACTTCTCTGTATATTTGAGCCTTGTACCCTCTAGTCCTCTGTATATTTTGAGCCTAGTACCATCTAGTCCTCTGTATATTTGAGCCTTGTACCCTCTAGTCCTCTGTATATTTTGAGCCTAGTACCATCTGGTCCTCTGTATATTTGAGCCTTGTACCCTCTAGTCCTCTGTATATTTGAGGCTAGTACCCCCTAGTCCTCTGTATCAAAGCTCAGTACCGTCTAGCCCACTATATTACCGAAACCACTGTCGAGCTTGGAAGTTCATAGTGTAGGGCTCATGGAGGGAATAGTTGGTTAGTCACTTTGAAACCTGAATACAAACCTGAGGACGCAGTGAATCCCGCGTGCATGGCGTAACGAGGGGTGGTCATGTGCTGAGGATGCGGCGTCGGCTGGAGCGCGGCGTGTGTCGCCGAGACGGGTGCCTGAGGATGCGTGGCCGCCGGTCGCGAGAGTATCGAGTCTATCCCGTGGGGATTGCTCCCGACAGAGGTAATCGAGGTAGCAGGACTGTGCTTCCCGCTCCCTGTAGGCGAGGACTGACCCTGGGTGATGGTGGACAAGGGCACGCTGATCCTGGGTAGCTGGATGCCCGCCTGCTGCTGTTGTTGCTGTTGTTGGTGGTGCTGCTGCTGGTGTTGTTGGTGCTGCTGATGCTGTTGGTGATGACTCCTCTCCGCCATGGAGTGCAGGGCGGCCAGGGGCTGGCTGGCCAGCATGCTGCCGCCAGCTGCGCTCAGGTTGAGGAACTGGAGAACGTGCGGTGCCGCCGCCGCGTGGAAGTCGTGCAACCACGGCGGTCTGGCAGGTGGTGGCGAGTGGCTAGACGCCGGCGGCGGCGAGCACGAGCCCAGCGATGAACCCGCCGACGAGCTCCTGTCGCCCTCCAAGTGGCTGTTCCGTCTGTGAGCGTCGCTCAGCGACATGTTCTCGCCTAGCTGCGCGTCGGGGCTGGATCGCGGCTGCAAGGGCTCACTGTCGTTGCAACTCTTGCCGTTGTTGTTATTGTTGGTCAGAGAACACACCATCTCGCACCACGCATAGTTCGGCAATGAGCGGAAAATCTTGAAAGAGTTCCTCCCCGTGGCAACGGGGACCTATCGTCGGTTGCCTGTCGGGGCCCTGGCGAGTATCCTAAGCACTTGGTCACTGATTCACACGAGACATCACTCACATAAACCCCCTTTTGGGGGACACGATCCTCTGGTTCGGGGGGCCGCTTGACAAGGGCACCGCGGGTTCACGACTCTTGAGCACTATCCTCCCGATCCATGCCTTCTGAACGACGGTTACTCCCGTTTCTTTTGAAGAATCTATCTCCTGATAGACTAGGCTAGAGGGAGCCTTCGAAGCGATCGACGGACGATGCTAACGAACGCACTGTGTACTCAGAGACACATCCTTGGGGACACCCCCTGCGGGGACCACGTCCTCTGCTTAGGGAGCTTTTAACAACCGCGGCACTGCGGATTCACGAGGTTTGATGCTCTCGGCCCATGCTTTCTGGACGACGGTTATTCCCTTCCGAGAATAATCAGAGCTGGACGAAGAACTGGTCGATCGATGGGGGTAACCTTAAGACGCACTGTGTACTCGAGACGATCATGGGACAACCGAGGGATCGTGGCTAGGGGTCGGCGAAGCGCGAGCTGAGACGCGAGAACTAATGAGGGCTCGGCTCGCCAAGTGATGTGCGACTGGGGTGCATCGGGGAGCGGCGAGTCTGTTCGCTCGGTGAGCGACTCACTCTCGTCGTGCTCGTGCCTGGTCGCGCCTGGGGGCTCGGGGAATCCCGCTAGGCGCCGATAGGTCCGCACCGTTCGACCGTCTGCCGGCGGAGCTTGTGGATTGGCGTGGGGACGGTGGGACGGCCGTACGCCGCGGGGCGTTCCCACTCCCCGATTGGCCCGCGCGGGTCGTTCCCCCGTAAGAAGAGGTGTTTCGGGCGGGGCCTCTCAATCTCGCGTTAGCTTCTTGTTAAGCGTCTTTCATTGTGTGTTTAAATTCGTAATTTATGATCCCGACTGAATAAAACAAGAACTCGCTGGTTCGCTTACTGGCTGGCTGGTTGGCCGGCTCCGTTGGCTGGCTGAGCTGTTTGGCTGACTGGCTCGCTAGTTTGCTCGACAACTGGGCACCTCTGTATGACTATGGTGACACTACCGCCTCGATAACTTCCTTGCTTCCTTGCTTCCTTCCGCCCTGACTGCCGTCCGCTCTCTCAACCTCCGTCCACCCCTCCTCCTCGCTCTTCCGCTCGTCCCTCCTGCTTTGCCACCCTCGTCTCCGGGCTCTCGAGCCAGTCAAGTGCGCGTAGACCGAGCAAATCGAGTTATTTGCTTCCGATGGTCCATTTGGCTTGTTCCTCGCGTTCTCTACGTATGGCGATGCACGTGTCAACGAGAATTCGGTTACTTCGCCACCCTCCACCTCCGCCCACCCCCTCGCCAAAGCATTGCCTTCGCGGATGACGTAACTGATGTCGGATGAACTTAACCGTACTCGCTGGCGTTCGACCAATTTAATGATCGCGAAACGCCACGGGTCGAACCTTTCGCTCCTCTCGACCGGGATGAATAATTTATGCCACTCTTCGACGGCCATTCTCTCGGTTACACGGGGCTCCTCTTTCCTTCCGTCCATCGCCTTCGTCGAACAGACGTCGCAGTCGAGCGATACCGAATCGATGGTACCGTTTTGTATCGAGTTGGCTATCGAAAGGGTGAGCGCTCGAGACCGGATCGATAACCATTTGCTGCGTTCGTGGAACAAACGGTGTGTATCAATTAGCGAGCAGGTATGGGGTCGCTGGACTGCACTTACGCGGAGTCTTGCTGGCCGTACGATGCAAATTCGATGGACACTATCTACGTGAAGTTTGGGTGCATTGCAGCGGGGAGTTTACTGTTTGTTTCTGGAATTAGCAAGCTAGTTTCTTGGCTCGGACTTTTTCGGTGTTTGCAGTTCGTGTTAGAAGATAAAGGGAGGTTAAATGTGTGCAGGCTAGGGGCCTTCCTCGATGATTAGTAACAGTTGGAGCTGTAAACTATAGGTGATCATTTCTTAGAAAATAAAAAGAATACGTGCATTACTTGTAATGATCTTAAGTAGCTCACTTGGAGGTACTCCATTCTTAATCCTCATTTGAGTTAAGTTGTTAATAAATTAATACGAAGCTTCTACACCAACTACCTATGTTTCTGAATAGGCGCAAGAAAATTGTCACTACCACCAGAGTATCCCATCCAATTCAGTTCTGTCTTTCCCTATCCCTTTCAGGTGTCTCCACTCTCACCAAGAGTGAGCTTACTTTTTCCTGATTTAAACGGGGAATTTTGAGCCTCCTCGAGGAAGCTAAAACGTCCACGGGGAAAATCACGGGGCGTGGATGTTTTCCACGACGCAGTTTATTTGGAGAGCAGCGATGCTTTCTAGGCGAGTGGAAACCCAGCCAGTTCAACGCTGAACGTCCGATGCTTGCAGACGGTTTATCACCCAAGGAGATTATACAGTCTACTACGGTGTTTTCTAATTTTAATTAACTCCAATCCCGAGATTTCATTCCGTTTCCACCGTTTCTTCAGGGAAATGTTTATTCGTGTGCCTGGAAATTTATACGGATATCAGTTCATCGCAAAATGGAAATTCTTATAACGTTTCAACACTCTGAGAAAAGGCTTAACAAATGTTTTCCTAGTTACACTAGTGGACCTGTTGTATATTTTTAATATCAAGACGAACTTAGTTCAGTAGTTTAATAATTTTGTAATATTGCTAACAAGTTCTCTTTGTAACGAATTAAATTGAAGAATTCAATGGTAATTTAACTGAAAAAGATTCATGAAGTGAGGTTTTGTTTTAGATGACTTCAAGAGTGCAAAATTAGGATGTTAAAGTACGAAATCGTCGAACCAAGAGTACCAGAAAAACAGATGAAATCTTCCCCCGTTTCAAATTCGCGTTTAATTTCGTCGAAAAAGTTTCTTGGATTCCGTTTTACAAGCGACGCGAGCGCGTCCTTTACCTGAAGCTAATTTTGATTTATCTCCACGGTCGCGAGCAAGTCCTCGCAAACGATGGCGGGGATGGAAGTGAGAGGGAAGAGTTTGGGGGAGGGGGGGAGAGGGAAGGGTCGAAAACTCGAGCAATTTAAACTTGACGCGAATCTATTAGACCTCCCCACGATCTGCTTTCATGATATTCCGTTTTACACGGTCGCGATACAGCGATAATAATGGAGACAATGACGCGCGATAAAAGCGCGACTTAACGCTTTATGAAAACACGGCATATGGCGTGTTCTGCGGCCCTCGATAGCGGCGTTCAATTATGCGACATAATCTGACGATCCGCTGTTTAAATAAGACGACTTTTATTGGCGACCGATACAGGGGCTTTTCATTTGGAGCTAGTTTAGGCGACCATAAACTCTATTAAGAGTATTCGGGATACAGCGACATGATCTTTACCTTTGTAACAAATTTTGAATACTATAGGTCACTATATACTATATAGGTCACTCGAAATAGTGGGAGATCACTTGGATAGTCGGAGATAGTCACTTGAAAGCGGTCACTTGAACACGTGGTCGTGCTCCCAGCTTTCCTTTTGCAACCTAACCTCAAACTGTCTCAGCCGCCCGTCAGCGACAACAAACCTCAATGTAGACTCGCCGAGTCTCATTCTTTTCATCGTCCAGCATCGAGCTCAACCAACACGGTGACAAATGTACACCAACAACCAGGAATCTCAGTGGGGTCCGCAAATGCCGCTAAATCGGGATTCGTTAATCGTTTCAATTCGCAGATCGCGCGAAGACCTATAATGCCCGGGGTCGATTAATCGACGCCATTTAATCACCGAACAGGAGAGCTTTATTGCCAGTTGATCGCGACAATGAGGCACTGGCGCGCGGGGTCCAACGATTCGCGCCATTTTATTGGACGATCCCGGCCACGTAATAACTTCGCTCTAAACAGGAAGGCGCACCAGGGCCTGAAAGGGATCAACGGGGAGGATCCAGGGACGCGGGTAGTCGGAGGAACCTGCGTAATGACTTTCCATAGAAAGGAGATAAAACCTCAACGACGGGGAGCCATAGTTCTTAACGACGAATTTATGTTCTGCGTTTCCCCCCCCCCCCCCCCACCCCCACCCCCCGGCCAACACCTCGCGTCGCGATTACGCTCGCGGAAACGCGATTTTTCTCGAATTATAAGACACGAATGGACGACACGTACGGTGGACAGGTAACCATGCAAATGGATATTAGATTGCCAGTTCATATTCGGAATGAACTGTTAAGGGGGGGACAGCTCCAGCTCTGAACGCCATTCCAACGTCGTTTTCCACCCCGATTCGATCATCCTCCAAGCGAATCGTCATCGTCTACATGCATCAGGGTTTAAGGCGCGTATTTCTGAAACATAAAAACATTTCTTAATCCTCTGTTCCAGGCTTGAATAGCGAAGGCTAGGTTTACCGGCTCGAACAGCGAGAGCTCGCAAAGAAATAACCGTACTCTAAAAAAACAAATAATCCGCGCGACAAACTTTTGTACAACTTTCCTGAAGCACTTATTTGACGAACACAACATTGGGTTCACCAAAACAGTGCCATCCTTCCAAGACTGCAATCTTCGCGAACTCCTCACGGTCCGATTAACACCAGGTCACTCTTCGCTGGAAAAGGACACCCGTTTAATCGGCGTCCATTATGTCCCCCCCCCCCCCTCCCTCGCCCCCCTATCCCAAACAGGAGATTTGAATTATTTTGCATTATTAGTTCGAAACGCTCGCGATGTTTTCGTACGATCAACGCCGAAAGCGTCACGCAACAACCAGAGGAAAGAAAATTAGACAGGGGGGGGGGGCAACAGGGGCCCCGGAGTGGCTAACTGTATGGTTATTCCATCATCTGCCGTGGAACGCGATGACACGGATTACTGGGTGCGGGCAAAAGGCTGGGCTGCACGGCTAATAGAATGCAATCATCGGCGTGTAATGATTGGGGCACAATGCGGTCCCTGGGGCGCCCCGGTGTTAAAACGACTTCTTCACCGACGGATCCTCCTGCCCCCCCCCCTCCCCCCTCCTCCGGCTCCTCGTGGACCCGATGCTCGCCTTTTTCCGTCGCGCGTGACGCGGTGATCGTTAATAAAATCCGATGACGCGTGAAATTAGCCAGCATTTATCACCAGGACGACCCCCCGGCTCAATTATCAGTTTATGTCCCGTAAAACGAGCCGAGACGAAACGGGAAAGTCTGCGAAAATTAGGGAAACTTGGACGCGTTTTGGTTCTCGTTTCGCAGGTGATGGAACTGCTCCTCAGGAGCCCTAGGGTGAAGTCTCTTCGAAGGTTGTGAACTAATAGCCTCAGGGGGACATAGAATCTGTGTCTCCTTTTGATAATTCTGCTCGACTCCGGTACGTGCTTTAACTGGGGGCATTTGGTTCTTGATACTTGTTCATTGGAGAATGTAGTAGGTCATAAGTTCGTGCTGCAGCCTTTGGTAATATACAAATTTGATAGCGACAATATAACGACTGTGTCAGAAAGGTGGGAAAATATTGTAAAATGGGAGAGATTACCTTTTCTTTTTTTTATAAAACTTAAAGGTATTTAGGACGCCCTAATAGTTTGGGAGTTGAAAAGGAATTT